GAAAATATGGCCTTTTTTCTATCATTTCTATCATAGAAATGATGTCAGATATTGCATGATAGAATTTTGCAACACCAATGATTTCTTCATTACAAATACATTTTTTAAACAACATAAAAGATGACTATACACATGGACCTCACCAGATGGAATACACAGAAATAAAATTTACTTCTTCTGTGGAGAGACAGTGGGAAAGCTCCATATCTTCAGCCCAAACTAGGCCAGTGACAAATTGTAGAACAGACTACCAATTGCTCATAGGCAAGTTCAGGAAGAAACTGAAGAAAATTAAAACAAGCCTATGAGAACCAAAGTATGACCTTGAATCATCCCACCTGAATTTAGAAATCATCTCAAGAACAGATTTGATGAATTAGACTTTAATAGTCAAATACTAGAAGAGTTGTGGGATGAAATCAAGTACATCATACAAGAGGAAAGCAAAAGGTCATTACGAAGACAAGAAAGAAGAAAAAGACCAAAATGGCTATCAGGTGATACTCTGAAAGTTGCTCTCCAATGTAGGATGGTAAATCAAAAGGAGAAATGAGGAGGTACATGAGCTGTATAGAAAATTACAAAGGTCAGCTCAAGATGACAAAGTTAAATAGTATAATGAAATGTGCAAAAATCTGGAGTTAGATAACTAAACGGGAAGAACATGCTCAGCATTTTTCAAAATGAGGGAACTGAAGAAAAAATTCAAGCCTTGACTTGAAATATTGAAGGATTCTCTGGGCAAAATATTGAACGATGCAGAAAGCATCAAAAGAAGATGGAAGGAATACACAGAGTAACTGAACCAAAAAGAAATGGTCCATGTTCAACCATTTCAAGAGGTAGCATATGCTCAAGAGCCAGTGTTATTGAAGGACGAATTCCAAGGTGATTGAAGACATTGGCAAAGAACAAGTCTCTGTGAATTGATAGAATACAAATTGGAATCTTTCAACAAACTGATGCGGCACTGGAGGCACTCACTCATCTTTGCCAAGAAATTTGGAAAACAATTAACCTGGCCAACAGACTGTAAGAGATTCATATTTGTGTTCATTCCAAAGAGAAGAGACCCAATGGGTTGCAGAAATCATTGGATAATATTAATATCACATGCAAGTAAATTTTTGCTAAAGATAATTTAAAAGGGTCTGCAACTGTGCATGACAGGGAACTGCCATAGGTTTAAGCCAGATTCAGACAAGGGTGTGGAACGAGGTGCTGACGCCAGACGGATCTTGGTGAAAGCAGAGTACACCAGAAAGATGTTTACCTGTACTTTATTGCCCATGCAAGGCATTTTTGTGTGGATCATGACAAGCTATGGACAGCAATGTGGAGAATAATTCCGAAATACTTAATTGTGCTCATGAGGAACCTGTACATAGACAAAGAGGCAGTTATTAGAACAGAACCAGAGAACACCGAATGGTTCAATATTAGGAAATGTGTGTGCCAAGGTTGTATTCTTTCATCATACTTATTCAATCTGTATGTTGACCAAATAATCTGAGAAGCTGGAATATATGAAGAAAAACATGGCAATAGCATTGAAGGAAGACTCATTAACAGTCTGCATTATGCAGATGATACAACTTTGCTTCCTGAAAGCAAAGAGGACTTAAAAACTCACTGATGAAAATCAAAGACCACAGCCTTCAATATGAGTTGCACCTCAATGTAAAGAAAACAAAAATCCTCACCACTGTACCAATAAATAACATCCATATAATTGGAGAAAAGATTGATGTTGTCAAAGACTTCATTTTTCTTGGATCAACCATCAACACTTAAGGAAACAGCAGTCAAGAAATCAAATGACGTATTGCATTGGGCAAATCTGCTGTACAAGACCTCTTTAAAGTGTTGAATAGTAAAGATGTCAGTTTGAGGACTAAGATGTGCCTGAACCAAGCATGGTATTTTCAATAACTTCATATGCATGTGAAAGTTGGACAATGAATAAAGAAGATCATAGAAAAATTGATGCCTTTGAATTATGGTGTTGGAGGAGAATATTAAAAGTACCACAGACTACCAAAGCAGCAGGCAAATCTGTGTTGGAAGAAGTCAAGCCTGAATGCTCCTTGGAAGCCAGTATGGCTAGACTTTGGACTTATTATCAGGATGAACTAGTCCCTGGAGAAGGACATCATGCTTGTTAATATTGAGGATAAATGAAAAACAGCAGAATCCCCCAACGAGATAGATTGGCATAGTGGCAGCAGCAATGTGTTCAAGTGTAACAATGATTGTGAGATTGGCGAAGGATCAGGCAGTGTTTTGTTCTGTTGTGCAAAGGTTAATACGATTCGGTACCAACTCTATGGCACCTAACAACAACAACAACAACATATGCATGTGAAAGTTGGACAATGAGTAAAGAAGACTGTAGAAGAATTGATGCATTTGAGTTATGGTGTTGGAGGAGAATATTTAAAGTACCATTAACTGCCAAAAGAACAAACAAATCTATGTTGGAAGACGTAGATCCAGAATGCTCCGTAGAAGCCAGTATGACCCGACTTCATCTCTCATATTTTGCACATATTATCAGGAGGGACCAGTGCTAGAGACGGACATCATGCTTGGTAGAGAGGAGAGGCAGCGACAAAAAATAAGACCCCTAATGAGATGGATTGGCACAGTGGCAACACAATGGGCAACAATTGTGAGGTTGGTGCAGGATTGGGCAATATTTCATTCAGTTGTGCATAATGTTGCTCTGAGTTGGTACCAATCTACGGCACCTAACAACAACAGCAAACATTATCAAAAAAGACAACCTTTTCTGTAATCCAAGTTGGCTAAACTGAAGTAGGGAACTCAGAGATAAATTTAACCTGGGGAAAGAAAACTATGAAACATACCGGGGAATTTGAAAGATAGAAAGGGAAAAGGGAAAAAAGATATTCTAGCTATATCAGGAACAAAAGAAGGAGGGAAAAAAAATCCGCATATCTTTTTTAGTTGGGGAAAAGAAATATGAGGTCCAATAACCTTGACATTTATATCTTTACAATTATAGTATAGCTTTTGCTCAAAGAATAAAAACTTAACTGTAAATTGCCAAAGAATTTAACTGTTATAATCAATGTTATGATTAAGATACAAAAAGGAAGGAATCTCCTGATCATTTGAATTGTTCACCCCTTGGTCTTATTTTCTTGAAGACACTAAGGACTTCCCTTAGAGACCTTATAGGTTTCGTTTGTACACCACATACACCAGTTGTCTTCGAGTCAATTGCAACAGACCTGTAGCAACCCAAGTGATTTTGAGTAGAAATGCATTGCATAAGGTTTTCAGTGTAGATTACCAGACCTTTTTTCAGAGTTGCCTCAGTGTGGACTCTAACCTATAATGTTTTGATTATGAATTGAATGCTAAACTGTCTGCACCACTGAGGGGTTCCTTCTTTGCATAAAGACCCTTAGTAAACAAGATCGTCTTATGTCTGAAGAGATAGCATGATGCCATGTGAAGGGAAAGAAGAACCAAGGGCAAATGTAAGAGAATTTATGACCCTGAGTATCACTTTTATGCCAGTCTTCCTGCCTAACAGAAGCAGTCTTACTAACCTCTCTGACTAAGTACTGAGCTCCAGAGAATAGAATATTGAAGAAGTCAAAGAATGCCACAAGTGAGGAACAGAAACAGCCTAGGTTAGTCCAACACTATACTGTACCCTTTTTTTCTGAGCCCCCTTGCTTTCCACAGGTGAGATGGGAGTGTATTTAAGTTCTTCACCATCCCCTCCAGATGAAATGCATTGTTAATCTGTGGAATTTAAAAGGCAATGACAATCTTCTATTAGGAAACAAGCATTTCTTACAGTTTGGTCTATGAGCACCGGAGCATCATTTAGGGAATTGGCCCAGTTTACAAAGTCTGTCAGATCAGTCATAGTGATTGTGCTGTGAAGCTTTTCTTTTGATGCAAATGCATATTTTGTGGTTCCTCCTCTTATGAATGAAACGACATCTTCTATGAGGTTATCTTGAGTCATGTTTACTGAGAAAAGGAAAACATAAGGGGAACACTTGTAATTGTGTGATCAGTCATCAAGATGATATCTGATAAAGGAACCCGCATAGTAAAATAAAATCTAATATATTTATTGAACTTTAATTATAAACATAGTTTATGAAATTGTCTACACCAAGTATGTAAAGACAATTTTGACCACCCTAGGACTTGAAACCATATACAGGATTGATATAAGTCGGAATTGATCCAACAGCACTTAACAACAACAGCAAAGAACTTGATGGTCATATGTAATTAGCCAATTGAAGAATTCACTCACTGTATTTTAAAAATAAAAATGCTATGTGCAATCTAGATACAATAATAATTCAAAGCCCAACACATACATAAATGCACACATGGACAAACATCTTTTGTCTTTACTAATTTTTTTTTTTTTTACAGATGTTCCTTCATAATTATATTTTGCTTAGGTTTGCTATATATTTTAAAATAATGTAACATTATAAAAATAAAAGCACAGAAAAGAATAAAGTGAAAAAGAAACTTGGGTTTACCCCAAATTATTATCTTCCATTAATTATTATTGTCTTCCATTAATCCCACTCTCCAGACTGAATCAATTTTAGCAATCTTTTGTGAATTTTTCTGCGCTGAGACTTTTTAGAACTGGAAGGGAATTTTCAGGACAATGTTTGTCTGTTCTTCCTTGTTTTTATGGGCAAGGCAGCTGAGACTAAGAGGTAGAAGAACCAACTCAAGATTGCACAGCTAAGGATCAAATATAGAAATTATGACAGCTGATGGCAAGTGGTTTCCAATCATAGCCACAAGCTAGTGGAGGATATACTTTAAAACTATTAGCAGCCAGAGTTCCCACTTGTCTAGATTGCCTTTCTGCTGTTGGTTAACTCTTTAAGGATGGGTCTCTGGTATTTGTGTTTTCAAAAGTGTCTTCAGATATGACTGATTAGAATAAAAGTTGAGAAAGACAGCACCAGGACTTTTGGTGTAGTGCAGTTGGATCAGCACTGGACTGAACCACAAGGCCAGCAGTTCAAAGTCACCAGCTGCTCCTCGAAAACACTAAAACTGACTCAAACACACTTAACAGTGTCAACTTGGAAATCTGCTAAGGATAAACAAGCAAAAGGAGTATCTGTGTCAGTTATTTTATTTGTTTTGTAAGTTTATGCACTGATATAACATAAGGGTGGATTAGAAATGTCAGGGTAGGTTGGGGGTTAGGTAGGAAGATGGCTTTGGCTTTCTTTGTGGAAGAACAGAGCCACCACTAGCCCACTTAAACGCTTCATAAATATTGTTGGTTGTTAAGTGCCGTTGATGAGTCTATGAGCACGGGAGCATCATTGAGTGCCCTAAATGGTGGGTGTGAACCATCGGCCTTGTGGTCAGAAGTCCAGTGCTTATCCTACAGCACCACAAAAGTAGACTTTTCCTCAAGATCATTTTCTTGGCTTTCTTTCATTGTGATGACAAATATATTGACTACAGAATGAATGGTACGCCCTAAAGTTGTGTACAGTACAGTCTGCAAATTAGTGTCCTAATGAATACATTTCCACAGACTTGGTGTGTGTAGAGCTATGAAAAACACCATACAGATAACATAGTTTTTCAACATTTTGGTTTTTTAAATAGAGAAGTCATGTAATATTGAGGGTTCATACTAAGGTGGCAGTGTGGTTTTTACCCCTCTATTTTAAAAAACTAAAAACTTAGGTCATACTTACCAATTCTATTTCCAACCATCTTTAAACAATTTTTCTTATCAATGTGTGCTGTAAGCCCATCTTCCTTGTATATAGACAAATCCATATTAAACCCAAGGCATTTCTGTATATCTTTTAGTTCAACACCTGTTTAATATATTTATTTGAAAAGTGTTAGATCACATCTGTCAATATCACATTCACATAAATCATCATTTTACTATTTTGTAAGATACATACTTGGGTTTCTAGACATCACTACACCAAGGCATATCCTTCCTTCCATTTCCTTGTAATAAGATTCCATGGCTTTTCTTTAACTTTCTTTGCTTGTCAATTTAATGGCAAAGAATGTACTAAATTTTCCAATTGGTTAAAAGGGATAGATTTCAGACTATGATAGTTATGATAAAGTCATTTATCTTTTAATACTAAACACACACACACAAATACATACGTATGAGGAGACTTCAAAAGTTCATGAAAAGATAATAGATTTTTTCCACAAACATTTGAAGGCCCCTCATGTGTATATATACACACATTGCAACAAACCAGTTGCCATCAGATTCATTCTTATTCATGGTTACACCATGTGTGCCACAAGTAAAATGGCACAGTATTTTCAAGACTGACCATTTGGAAGCAGATCACCAAGCTTTTCTTCCAAAGTGCCTCAGGATGGGTTTGAACCAACAACTTTTTGTTTAGTAGTTGAGTACTTAACTGTTTGCATCACCCAGGAATTCTTGGGAAAGGGCAAACATGTCTAAAATTTATTAATGCTTATTATATACCCAGCATCATTCTAAACATTTCATATGTATTAATTTCATTATTGATGATTTAATTAATCTAACTGAATTCTCACATAGACTTTATAAGATAGGTATTCTCATTATCTTCATTTTACACATTTTACAGATAAAAACACAGAATTACAGGATAAATTAAGTAACCTGTTGATAGCCAAGTTGGAATACGAACCCAGAGTTGTCTGATGTTTAAGCACTTCTGTATGTTGAGTTCATAGATTTGGTCATTGGATATACCAACCTCTTCTGATCCTCTCTGGGAGATTAAGTTCAACTTTATGTAGCTGATTCATGACTTTAGGCAGATGTGTATATATATGTATATATACACACATACATATATGTATATACATATATATATATACATATATACATATATATACACATCCTTTTGATCCTATAAATGCTATTTGTTATTGTGGTTAACTGCTATCGAGTCAGTTCTAAGACCTTGTATAAGGTTTCTGAGAAGCGACTCATGAGTTTGAGCTGTTGACCTTGTGGTTAGATTCTAGTGTTTATACTAGACATCAACCATTGAAGTTGACACAGTGTGATATGCAGATGCCCTAAACAGTTACTAGGAATAAAAATTCTAACATTTACTTAAAATCTATAATTTATTTTCTATTTATCTGATTTAAAACAAAGAACAATTCCTCTATTCCAGACTTCAGCTTGTCAATCATGTCCATTTTTACTCTTATTTTAATTTCGGATCAGCCCCCCCCCCCCACACACACACATATATACATGTACATACAAATACTTGGTTGGTTGTCCTGGAAGTTAATATACTTTATGAAAAAGGAATAGGAGAAGTGGTATTTGGAAGAAGAGATTTAGAAGCATTTTATATTCTTTACTTCCAATATTTCATATGCACCCCAAAATATGAAGACTTAAGAATTATCAAGGAGTCCTGGTGTGGTGCTGTGGGTTAATGCGCCAGACTGCAAAGCCATTTGAACTGCAAGTTTGGCGGTTCAAGCTCACCAGCCACTCCTCGGAAACCCTATACAGGGTCGCTATGGGTCAGAACCGACTCGACGACACTAAACAACAACAAAGAATTATCAGGTGGAATTTTCAGTGGGAAAGAATAAAGGAGGATAAAAATGGAAAACAATGCCAGAAACCCAAAATTCTAGATTTCAAAACTTAACCTGATAGGGACGAGAATTCTGATTCCAAAGAAAAAAGTGAAAATTATCTAGATCACCCTCAGAAGGCTTAGATGGTTTGCTTCAGTATTGTTTCATGTCCAGACAGAATCTAGGTCTCCCAAGTTGAGGTGAAGGACATGGGTCTATCCTCAGATATTGGAGAAGTGAGAAAGGTGACTTCCTTGTCAAAAACATCGAGACTGACCTAGCATCCATGTCTGAGTTGCTCAAAAGGTACGTGGATTTAAGTGTGTAGTTCTGAACTGTTAAGGATTAAAGATGTCAGCCCATGGAGCTCTCTCACCAGAGCAACTCTGTGCCTAAGAAGTTCTTTGCATTTTGATCATTCTTGCTTGACCCTTCCTCTTCTGACTTTTCTGATTACTCAAGGGAAAATCTCTATGTTCATTATAGAAGTCAATTTGCTATTAAGTAAGACTTTAGTGGCCCAAGAGTAAGAAAAAAATTCTTCTCTCAAAGGATCACATAATAGACTGTTTTAAAGCTTTTAACCATTGAGCTCTGGTAGCGTAGTTGTTACTAGTCGGGCTGCTACACTCAAGGTCAGAAGTTTGAAGCTACCAGCAGTTCCATGGGAGAAAGATGAGACTTTCTGCTCTCATAAACATTTACAGCCTTGGAAACCCTATGCAGGGTTGCTGTGAGTCAGAATTGACTTCACGGCACACCACCACCACAAACAACAACCACTAAAAGAGGTGAAGGAAAGGAATAGTGACGGACCCAAATGACACTTTTTCCAGACATACCTTTCTCCTTCATGGAAGCTTTATCCAAAACATAAATTAGCTCATAAACTCCCCCTAGAAAGCCAGAAGTACTGTAGTGGGTTCCATAGGTTTCCAAAAATGCAAAATATTCCCCCTTTTCATAGTTAGTTGGCAGAGCTTTTATATCATCCAGGAAAGTTGTTGTAAGCATGATGTCCCGATTTCTCATCACAAATCTTCCCGTCTGAATTGTTCCTTTCACATACAGAAATATTTTTTCCTTTGTTTTAGAGCAGGAGAAGAGCAATGTGAGTTTTATCATCATTATTTCAAATTTTAAAAATCACAATGTTTAGATTTTCCACAGATAACACATATTTTTAGCATTGACCATGAAATAGCACCTCAATCCACATGAATGGCTAAAATTAAAATACTGTCTATACTAAGTATTGATGAGGATTTGTACCATCTTAAATTCTCATACATTGTTGGTGTTAGTGAAAAATGGTATAACCTCTTTAGCGAATTATTAAGCAGTCTTTTGTACAATTAAACAAACATCTACCTTATATGCAGAATTCTCCTTCTATGTATTGTTCTAAGACCATGATCAATAAAATATTGTTCCCAAGAAGACCTTTTTTTCATGTGAATTTCTTTGAGTTTTAGTAAGGATAGTTTAAAATTGATAATGACTCAAATAGTCCTCAATAGGGCAATCAACAAACAAATTATAGTACAGTTATATAGTGGAATACTAGTTAATAATGAAAGGACAAACTAATAATACATACAACAACATATATTATTTGCAAAACTATTATTCTTATTGAAAGAAGCCAGATACAAAATAGT